AACATGTTTCAGGGGAAACTATGAAAGGGGAAGGTAGTACAGAGTACGCTACAGTCTGATGAAGAAAGTGGTCCAAGTGAAAATAAAACCTGAAGACAGAAAGATTCCTGTGAGCCCTTCACAGCAGAGAAAGACTGTGTGAAAATATGTATGAGTTAAACAGTGAGATTAAAATGCACGGAATGGGTTTAGATGAAAACTTTTTAAAAAATTTAGTGCCAAAGCAGCACTATTAACTGAACTGGTAAATTAACAGAACAGCCAGGGACACGGTGGGTAATCGGTTACTGACAGAGAGGAAGCAGAGGACAGCTGTGAACACCCAAGAAAAGACTAGAGATTAAAACAATTATGGAAAAAAACAAGAGAAGGAAGGACAGGCAAAGGAGAGTCAGATATGACTCCTCGGTGTCCCTGGGGTGAAAACCTCACAGAAGGGGACAGAATGTCTTTTAAAGTATGTAATAGAAGAAAATGTTCATGAACAAAGGAACATGAACTGAAACCAACCTAAAAGATGAACTCTGTTCCTTTTATTAGTTAAGAAACATTCATTAAGGAACATCAATACAGAATGAACGCCACTGAAATATTTCCTGGTTGAGTCAATAAACACGAAGGCAAGGCTTGCTTCAAGCATTCAGACGCAGAGAGCAAGGGAGGGAGCTGGCCAGGGACATGCAGACCAACAGGCAGGTCTCAGTCACAGCAGCACTCAGAGTTAGAAGACAGTGGTGTGGAGAGGAAATTCTGGGCAAAGAACGCATTATTCAAGAATATTATACCCAGCCAAGCTGGCTTCTAGGAATCATAGTCACAGGGAAGCACACCAAAAATAGGGTCTTTTCATGAGACATTTGAAAAAACAAAATCAGCCCACTAACATGAACAGAGGAAGGACAAGTCAACAGTTAAAACCAGAAGACAAATGGTTAAAATGGTACATTTCATATTACGTATATCTTACCGCACAATTTTTCTTAAAATCAGGGAAAAGAGAAAAAAGGAGGACACGGGGTATAAATTTTGAGAGAAAGATAAAGTTGTTTATCTAGCTAAGTTTCCCTTTGATTACAAAGGCCACAGGCAATCTTGGACAGGCAGGAATTTAAGAATCCAGCAGCAGTGAGACCCTGGTAGGGGACAGAGGAGCGGAGAACAGCTCAGTGATAAAAAAAATCCAGCCCAGCGAGGAGATAAAGCTAAATAGAAACCCAACCACGAGAGGGAAAGCTATTGGGAAAAGGACTCCTAAGTATCAAATCTACTTAAAAATAGAAAAAGACTCAACAGTGGGAATCACTGTTACATAATAGATTGCAAATGCTATTTGCCTTGCAAATATCACCAACAAAAATCATGAGAAATAGTCAAAGTGTCAGATTGCCAGTTTCCCCCTTATTAAACTTTTCTGAAATTAAAACATGGAGTTAAAAAACATAAAGGAGCCCACCTCAA